ACCTGTTTCACCTTCTTCTTGGCATTGCTCTGATGGCCAGCCTCTCACAGACATAATTAGTCATAATCCTATATAATAAAAGGCTAATAGCAATTGTCCCCTCGATCAGGAGTTTGATCAGGGGGTGGACCAGCCGGCCAACTGCCCACGGCCCCTCCCCCCGGCTGGCCCCGCTCTCCATCACCCTCCCAACACCACCCCCCTTCCCAATCGGGGCAGTCAGGCCAGACCCCACCTATGGGCGAATTCGTGCACTGGGCCTCTAGTTAAGTTATAATTCAAGATCCCCACAACCAATGATCAACACTCATTCAGTCTTTATCTTACTTGACTTAGTAGCAACAACTGACATGGTACTTTCTCCAACTTGAAGCACTTTCCAGATGCCACACTCCCTGCTTCTCTTCTTACTTTACCTGCTGCTGACTCCATGGACCCTGGAGTCCCATGACTCAGCCCTGGGGCCTTTCCTGTCCTCCATCTATACCCACCAGGCCGGCAATCTTATCCAGATTCCTGGCTTTAAAATGCATCCAGAGAATTTCAGCTCCCAAACACAGCCCATCCTCATTACTCATGGATTCCATATATTTTAATTTGCCTACTCACTAAAATTTACTTCTAGCCCCCAAATCCATACGTGATGCTTTCGTGGTCATTTGTGGACATGAGCAGAGTGGCCAAACCTTTGAGTTGCCCATGGTGCACATTCCCAGGTGAGGTCAAAGTGGCAATGCTCTGCCCTCTTGTTTTGGCTCTCACACTGTAAAGAAGTATTGTTTTCATGATCTAATTAGCACCACATTTTTCACATTGTGGTGCGTTTTGTTGACTTCACTGTTTCAGATGGGCCCCAATTATAATGCCGAAGTGTGGGTAGAGTTCTTAAGCACAGGAAGGCCTGGATGTGCCTTATGGAGAAAACACATGTGTCTGACCAGGTTTATTCAGGGACGAGTCATGTGCTGTTGGCCATGAGTTCAATGTTAATAAATCAACAATAATATTAAATAAGGTGTCATTGAACAGAAACACACATAAAACAAGGGTATGTATTGATCAGTTGCTAAAAATGTGATCAGAGGCCCACAGGAACCTAACCCTGTCTTTCCTTCGGAGCAGTGGCTCAGTCTTCACTAACTCAGGTTCATGGGACTTCCCAGAACTTAACTACCATGTGTAACGAGAAGACTGCACAGTTCCAGGCTGGATTTCTCTCCAGAACTCCAGACTCATTCATATTTCAGCAGCCTCCTTGACCTTGCAGACTTTAACAAATCAAAACCCAAACCCCTGATAGTATTTCTGCAACTTGCTCCTCCCAGGGGCATCTCAATTCAAGGCAACTATGCCACTTCAGGTGCTCACACCAAAAATCCTTGGAATTACCCTGGATTTCTCTTTCAATTTTTCAAATCTTGATGATACTATCTTCAAATTATATGTGGAGTCTGGCAACTTCTCACCACTTCCACTCTGCCAACCTATACCTTAGAGGGATCCTGGTAAAAGTCAGATCATGCCATGCCTGACCTCAGAACCTTCTAATAGCTTCCTGCCACCTGAGTAAAAGCCACAATTTTGACAATGACCTGTAGTCCTGGTCTGCACCTGCCCTTCCCATTGCTTCTCTGACTTTATCTGCCCTATTCTCCTCTCTGCTCATCCCAGTCTCCATGCCTCAGGGCCTTTGCAGCACCCTTGGAATACTTTTCCTCCAAATAACAGCACGGCCAGCTTCTTCACTTCTGTCAAGTCTTTACCGCATCACCATTGTCTTAGGTGAGAGCTGCCCTCATCACCATGATTAAAGCTACAACCACCTACACACACACACACACACACACACACACACACACTTGCTCATCTCTTGACTGCTTTATTTCTTTCCAGAGTACTTATCACCATCTAAGGTACTAATTAACATGCATAGCTGTTTGCTTATCATCTGTCACCATCCCACTCAAATGTAAGTGCCATGAGGGTGGGACCTTTATCTGTTTGTTTTCTTTCTACTTATGTATCCTCAGAGCCTAGAACAGATGTTAGGCACTAAATAAATAATTCTTGAATAGTTGAATAATGTAGTTATTACCATAAATTATTCAATGTACCTGGTTGCCCTCTGTCTCTCACAGTAATACTGACTGTGAACAAATATGTCTTATTCGTATTTGTATTCCTAACACCAAACCACTGTGCAGGGTGCATAATAGGAATTCAATAAATGCAGGCTGAATGAATACAAAGGGAGGAGAGAAAGGGAAAAATGATGATTTTCAGAACCTTGGGGTTTTTAGTTAGTCAACAAGCATCTGTGCCAAGATGAGTAAGACACAGTCCCTGCACTAGAAAAACCCACAGCATGGTGGGGAGAGACACAAATGAAAATGGAACCTGAGGCAGTGTAATCAGAGCCATGATGAGAAAGGGTCAGGAAAAGAACTGGGATGACAAAGGAGAGGATGGGTGTTGGGAAAGCAATCACAAGGAGGTCACATGTAAGCAGGGCTTTGCATAGGCGTTTGCCATGTAGACTGCAGGGGAAGAAACACAGGCCACTGCCCGAGGTATGTCTACATAGACAGGAGCCTCCCTATGTGTCCCCTTCCTTGCTCTAAAAGGTCTTCCAGGAGTCTCAGTGCTTAAACATGAAGAAACAGAATTGCTATATTCCCACAATTCTCCTCTTCCCCTGCCCACTCATAGAGAACTTGATATCTGATAAGAGGATTACCAAGGACTCCACTTGCCTCCAGTTAGGGTAGTAGGAATAAGGGCCACATCTAAACACTGTTCCCAGTCCCCAGACTCATCAGTGTCTGACATCTAATCAGAACCAGGCCAGACAATGGCGGTCACTTAGAGACCCAGAGAAACTGCCCTTCTGTGGGCTCTGCCAGGATGCAAAGAAGCAAAAACCAATTTAGAAAGTGCTAAAGCTTTCCAACATCAGAGCCAAATATGAGAGCAGTCTGATGCATATGTAAATATGGACATTCTTTGTCAGAACATGAAATCATAGCCCCAGAGCCGACTTCCCAAATGGGGACACTGGGCAGCCACCACACCTTCCACAGCTTCTTAGCTCAGAGTGCCTGGGCACCAGCCTGCTGAGGAAGCAGAGCCACCTGGCAGGGGCCCTGGATACCATGAGCTCATAGACCTTCTCATTTTCTAATGTCTGTGGTCAGAACAGGCTTTCTTCCTCCACATCTTCTCAGAGAAATGAGAATAAGCTTGTCCATTTGTTTTGATTTACTACTTGCCTGCTGGCTTGGACTGAGCTGGAGAAATTCCACACGCACACCACACATGCTCACGTTTCTGCCCACCACCCCACCCAGGCATACACATGCATTTGCACATGTGACACAGCCACAGCTTCCAGTGTCCCCGACGGGGCCCAGCCTATTCCTACACCATCACTTTATTCTCCTAGAACGGAGATGGCTCACTATGCCATTATCTCCATCAAGGCCCGTGCTGGCCTCTTAAAGTCTAGTGCATACACACAACCCAGGGATACAATCCCCACCTGCAACAGTCAAGAGCCAAGCAGCACTGAGCACACCTTCTCGTCCCCTGCCACATTCCCAACACCTTTATCCCTTCCTTCTAAACCTCCTTGTCTCTGAAGTTATTCCCTCAGCCTGCTCTTTTCTCCTCTCTGGTGAGTTCCCTTAAAAATGCAACAGCTATGCAAATACTGTAAGGCTGGGCCCTGGAGTTTCCCACAAGCTCCAGGCCCCCAGGCCCACAATGAGGCCTATTTTCCTCAGCCTTCTGAGGAAGACTGTGCGTTGCTACCAAAGACAAACAGGAATGATGTTGGTTGTATAATATTCCCTCCTCTCTTCTGGGGCAGGCTTCCTGTTCTCATTAAGAAAGACCATCATGGTTTGCATGATGAAAATTCAGCCATAATCTCCGTTTTCTAAAAGTCTTTTCCAACCTCAGTTTTAACTATTCTCAGACATTCTAGCCTGTACACTCTCCCTGGGCTTTTTCCCACCTAGGGCTATTGCACACGTTGATGCCTCTACCTGGAATGTTATGTCCCCTAAATTCCCATGGCTGGCTGCCCAAGTCTCCTCCCTATCCCCTGAACTCAGTTCCAATCCCTCTGCACCCTTGTTACTCTATCACATGCCCCTGTTTTATTTTCTTTTATTCGTAGTACTTACCACAATCTGAAACAACCCTGTTCATTTGTTTGTTTCTTTGTTTACTGCCTGTTACTCCCAACTACAATGTAAGCTGAATGAGGACAGGCTCATTCACTGCCATCACCCTAGTGCCTAGAATAGCATCTGATACATAGCAGGCACTTTAATGTACATTTGCTAAATGAATGAATATATTCCTGTAAATGAAAGTCTCAAAAACTTCACAAAGAGTTCCAATGGCTTTTCTCCAGGTCCCAGAAGACAGAAGGTGAATCTCAGGGTCTGTGTGTTCCTATCTGTCAGTAGCCTCCTCAGCATCCCCATGTTTAGTACAGAAAAACCTGGGCTTCTCATTTTAAGGAAAACGTTCATTGTTTGTTTCTCCAGTGCAGATCAAGACTGGCTAATTCATGAGAGTGACTTCTCTAAGGTTCCAACCAGAGTCCTCCAATCGACATTTGGCTTCCAGCTGCTTCTAACTCAACATTTTAAATGTTTTATTTGTGTCTGCACCTTATTGTTATCTCAGCCTCTCACTGTAAAGCATTTGAAAACATAAACACATGAACTTTTCTGGTATTAGAATCTGGGAATTCATCCAAATCAAGTCCTGGCCTCCAGTCAGGCCCTCACCCAAATCAAACAGGATTTCTCCCCAACTCTTAAAAGGTTTCGAGCGGAATCCCTCCCCTCCCAGCTCCTTCCAGTGTCTCTCCCTCTTTTTATTCTTCCCTCCAGGGGAATGCAGGCAGCTGTGATCATGTGCCAGCCTCAAATGGTTAAGAAGACTGGTGAGGGTGACACACAGGGACACACACACACTGTCCTCACCAACGTAGCCGGGGGTCCCACAGGCCGTGGACATCACGTCTCCTTTGCCCTCCATCTTTGACAATCCAAAGTCACTGATCATTATTTTGGACTCCTCATCTTGACTGTAGTACAAGAGATTTTCAGGCTAAAAAGAAAATAAGAAAAGTATTTACAAACTGTGTTTAGAGCTGGTTAATTGTGGACTCACCAAACCACAAAAATCTATTCACTATTCAAAAATATACTTGACCTTTAGATGTAGTGAATGCATTAAGAAAAGTGGTCTTTAATGAAGCACTGGAGAGGGCATTTACTGCTTTTCAATAAATGTTAGTCCCTGTCCCATTATTAATATTTTCCCTACTTAAAAAAATTAACCCCGTTTGGAGGCAATCCAGTGAAAACAGTAAGGTAAGCAGAGCTGCCATGCCAGAGGGACTGCCCTGCAAGGCTGATGCCTCAGACCTTGGAATGGTACCAACCTGGCAAAATAACCCCTGGACTGGGCCGAGGGAAATGTTGTTTCCCACAAGTACTGCATACAATGACAACAAGAAAGCAGTTCTTATGACTAATGGACTTAAAATTAAAAACATTATTGAGAATGAACATCGCTAAGTTATGTTACCTGCACCAACAGAAACACCTTCCCTCTACTGATAGAGTTGTTCCCCTTCCCTAGCCTTTGTCTCCCAATCAGAACACGATCTGGGCTTCTGCCTGGATTAATGATACCCAAATACAAATATTCTCGTTGGTCTCAAATAAATACACATTGCCTCTCCCTCTATTTTTGGATTAGCACTAGGACGCTGGGGCTCTCAGACTTGTCGGTTCATTTCCTGGGTTAGGAGAGAGGGGAGACCCAGAAATACAATCACTTTTGCAGGTGCTATTTTGTTCTTTCCCCAGACCCTGTTAGCAACCTTTCTCTAACCCAAGGGTCGCTCCCCCTGCCCTCAGCAATGCCCGCCCAGCCCGTAGTTCGTAGTTCGGGCAGATGTGCTCACTTTCCCCTTTCCTGAGCCAGCTGACACCTGCTTGTTCTGCTCCCTGGCCAGCAGAGGGATGTCACCAGGGAATGAGTGGGAGTTGGAAACCCCAGCACTTTCCAGCCATGTGTCCTTAAGTACCCTGAGCTGCTGTTGGCCTTGCTGTACAACAGGAGTTGCAAGGGGGAGACAATGAAGCCTCATTTGCATAGCATTTTAAGTAAAATCCAGGAATCTCGGGGTTCCTGGCAAAGAACTGGGGGGGGGGGGCAGGACTTGTGGAGACTGAGGGAGGTGTGTCAGCCTCAGAACGGTCCCTGCACTGCCAGGTTGAGACCCTGAACACAGGGGCGCTCACTTTTTTTTTTTGTCCATTCTGGAAAAGTTGTTCAATTAATGATGTTGTCACTGAGGGAGATAATGTCAAGGTCTGACACCTCTGCTGTCGTCCAGTTATGTCCCCCCACCCAGAAAACTCTGAAACTATACCAACTGAAACATACTCATGTCCCTCATTTGTACCAAACCGTAAGGGAATGCAGCAGAAGAGTCTGCATTGAGGAACTCACTTGCCCATACATACCATTTCGGATCTGGGTTTCCTCCCAACCCCAGGAGTGAGGCAATATTCTCTCTTGTCAGTGGCTTGTGGTGAATATTTGGTTCCTAAGTATTGCATTTTAGGAACTACTCTTTTGTAGAGTGACTTGACTAATTTAGAAAAGTGGTTCTCAGCCTAGTTGTGCAGCAGAATCAGCGGAGAGGGTACTAAATGGCTGGGGATACTGTTCTGCGGTGGATGTGAGGTTGGCCCAGGCCTCTGGATTTTAGAATTCCTTTAGGGGAGGGGGATTCTGAGGTGCAATTGCTGCTGTGGAGAAATTGTGAGAACTGACCAAGACTCTTTTCTTGACCAAACCTTAGTCAGGCTCGTCTGAGCCTTCTTCTTGACCAGACCTCGACCTTGGCCTTCTGTGTCCCTCCTTGTCCTTGCTGGGCCTGCACAGCCCAGTCTTTGCCAGAATCCTGCTAAGTCAGTTCAGAGGGAATCCCTCACTCTTGATATCTGGTCAAGTTCTTCATCCCCACCCTTTGATGTTGTTAAAAATATTATTCAGACACCTGTTAACGATGGTTAGGAAGACTGTTCAGGGGGATTACTGCAGTGGGGTTTGCAGTAGGGGAGAGGGACTGACCTCAACTCTGAATACAATAAGGACAAGTGGAGATTTATAGCCAAAGGACAGGGTAGGGGTCAGTGGACAAAAAAGTGGCTAAGAGGCAACATCAAGGATAAGGGGGACTCTGGCTGCAGGATGGCTGGATATGGAGGGCAGGGAACAAGGCATCTGATCAGATATGAAGGGTGGGGATTTCTGCTAAATCGTCAGGATTCTCACTAAGACTGAACTAAGTGGGCAGAGCCAATGGACTCAAGGTAAACCCAAGGTCAGGACCTAGTCAAAAAGAAGGCTCAGGGGTGTCCACTCAAGTTTGGTGAGTCTCCTTTGTCTGTCAGTGTGTAAGCGTTTGGCCTGCTTTTAGCAAGGATCCCCTTACCCTTGATGTCTCCTCTTAGTAACTGTCCATCCATGACCCCTCACTCTGCTCGAGCACATAAGTATCGCCCTCCTACCCTCACCTCCCTTGCTGAATTTGGAGTTTAGTTGGATTCTTTTCCCTATTTTGATACTGGAACACCCTCTTGCACCAGTCTTGAATAAAATCTTCCTTACCATTTAACAAGGGTCAGAACACTTGTTTTTCTTTAACAGAACCCCAATTTTTTTCCCTCTATACTTTACCCAAAACGATAACATAAAAAGAAATGGCACTGAACAGTCACTGCAACATTAATTCTGTGGATAAAGATGAGATCAGAAGAAAATCAGTGCATGATTTTGAGATGCGTTTTAAAAGAGAATAAAGTGGGCTGATAAATAGTCAAAATAAGAATAATGCTTAGAAAGTAGGGGCAATGATCTAATCAAAAATGCATGTGGTTCTTCATGTTCTCTCTATGCTTAGGGGTTACCCTTTGATGAACAGTAAGGGTGCAGAGAGCAGCTTTCTGCTTTTAAGTTCACGAGTTACAATCTTTCTTGTCCCAGCACTTGTGCAGCTGTAAAGTCAGTGAGCTCCTGCTCCTGAACAAGGCTTCGTCCAGGCAGGAGATCACCAAAGGGCCCAAAGTCCTTCTTAAACATTCCTCCTACAGAAGATCCACTTTGAAGTGCTCTTTCAAAGGACAATTATCCCTGAGAAGGATTCAATGGACTGGTCATTCACAGTTAAGATCAATACCTTAATTGGCTCAAGACTAGTAAAGACAATAGGGCTTTTTGTTGGGGGGACAGGGAAGAAAGTGGGAGAGAGGACAGACTTCAGGGATAACCTGGATGGAGGCCCCCGTGGGCATTAGGAGGGCTGTCGGAGGGGGGTATGGTAGATGGGGAGATCTCTCAATTCTTCCTGGGGTCTTAGGAGGCTCAGGACTCACCTGAAAAATTAGCTTACTATCTTTTTTGCAAGACAATTGGTGGCCAATACCTGAGTTGGAAGGTCAAGCCAACCCTTTAATATTCACATGACAAGCTATTAAAATATCTGAGTCAACACTTCCTATAAAGTTAATGTTACACATAATCAACCATCTTCCTAATTCAACATGATGATTCTCAACTGGGGCCAACTGTGCACCCTAGGGGACAGTTGTCAATGCTTAGAGGCATTTTTGGTTGTCACAACTCCAGGAGTGGTACTGGCATCTGGTTGGTAGAGGCCGAGGGTGCTGCTACACATCCTACAATGCACAGGACAGCCCCACTACAAGGAATGATCCAGGTTCCTGTGTCACTAGAGCAGGGCTGAGAAGCCCTACCCTAATCTGAGGAGGCAGTAGTGGGCATTTCCTGTCTCAGTCTCTTATTTTGAAAAAAGAACAACTGATTGTATCTAGTAGTGTTCTGGGGCAAGAAGATACAATAATACCTTTCTGGAGGAAGAAGAAAGCATATTTAAATGTGGGGTGGGGAAGTATCCCTGAATATACCTTAGTCATTTTTTCTTTTTAGTTGTTTTTTTTTTTAATCATCACCTGAGGATGTTGTTTTGTTTGTTTATTTGTTGCTTTTTTGTTGTTGTTGTTTTTAGAGAGAGAGGAAGGGGGAGAGAGAGAGAAACATCGATGTGAGAGAGAAACATTGATCGGTTGCCTCCCATATGTGCCCTGACTGGGGATGGAACCTGCAATCTTTTGGTGTACAGGATGATGCTCCAACCAACCGAGCCACCTGGCCAGGGCTGTGCCTTAGTTTTAAATTAACTTGATCATCTTCTCCATTGCTGTAGCCTAAATAATATAGCTTGTTTTAATTTTATCAGATGTTTATGAAAATTTAACATTAACTCCCTCCACATAGATCAAATTCCTTCGTGTTGTTGAAAAGAGATCACAAAAAGGCCCTAAAATGGCAATGTTCCTTCCACAATTATAAGCCTGGTGGGTGATCTTAAAGCTCCACGGGCTGGAAGCTGCAAGTGTTTTACCAAAAGAGTTATGTGGGGAGTGAAAAATGATACCTCCCACACAGCCAATCTGCCTTTCTATGGGGGAAATAAACACTGCTCCTCTGGGAAACGCCTTTCCTGCTTAGAAATTATTTCTAATAAGTATAGACAACCAGCCCATCACATCACATCTTTGTAGTCGCCACACTAACTTGTTCAGAGATGGCTGCCTGCTGTGTACTGGAAGCATAGATTCTGTGTTTAGTGAGGGCATAGAGAGCAGAGGAAGCACTGTTGACTGGCACAGAAGTGCCAGCTAAATCATCTTCTCTATCTAGCCCTTACTTAGCCCTCTAAAGGATCTCCAGGTCCTAAGATTAGCTCATTGTGCTCACAGCCCATTTCACCTGCCAAGGAGCCTGCAAAGGCCCTGGCTAGTTGGTCAGTGGTTAGAAGGGTCTCAGGCTTAATTCCCCATCAGGGGCACGTACCTGGGTTGCAGGATCGATCCCTGGCTCTGGTCAGAGTGCTTTCAGGAGGCAACCAATTGATGTTTCTCTCTCTCTCTCTCTCTCTCTCTCTCTCTCTCTCTCTCTCTCTTTCCTTCCTCTCTCCCTCCCTCCCTCCCTCCCTTCTTTCCTTCCTTCCTTCCTTCCTTCCTTCCTTCCTTCCTTCCTTCCTCTCTCTCTCTAAAAAAAAAAAAATGGAAAAAATATCCTCGGGTGAGGATTAACCAAAAACCAAACAAACAAAAACAAAAAAGAAGAAGCCTGCAAAGGGTGACAGGTAAGGACTTGACATTTCCAAATACTCTCACCCAGCAGTTTTCCAAGGGGGGTTCTCAAGCCAACATCATCATCACCCAGACTCTCCTTATAAATGCAAGTTCTCCGGCCCCACTGCAAACCTACAGAGTCAGAACGTCTGGAGTGGGGCCAACAATCTGTGTTTTTCCAAGCCCTCTAGATCAGCGGTTCTCAACCTGTGGGTCGCGACCCCTTTGGCAGTCGAACGACCCTTTCACAGGGGTCGCCTAAGACCATCTTGCATATCAGATATTTACATTACGATTCATAACAGTAGCAACATTACAGTTATGAAGTAGCAACAAAAATAATTTTATGGTTGGGTCACAACATGAGGAACTGTATTTAAAGGGCCAGAAGGTTGAGAACCACTGCTCTAGATGACTCTGATACAGATTGACATTTGGGAGCCATTAGCCTACTCAATGGAAAATGATAACATGGAGAGAAGAGAAAACTTTACAGTGAGTGCTTATGAAAGGAAAAGCTACACCATTTTATACCTTGACTCCTGGTACCAGATAAGGGAGATATTGAAATTCCATTTTCACTCCTGCTTAGAATTTATTCTTTAAATTGGTTTAGATTTCTAATAGTTGTGTATATGGCTTCAGTGCAATATAATCCCTGTGTTTATGATATGAGTGGTGGGTATGCGTGCTGAGGTAGAATTTCTACCTGGAAGGGTGCAGTGAGCGCTGGGGGTTAGACCTGGAGCTGCTATAGATGAAGCCACATTACAGCCTTGGGTCAACAATGCTAACTGTACTGTTCCTCAAAATGATATGTTCGTTATCTGCCCTTTGGTATTGATATAGACCTGGGGAGGAATGTATTTCCAAGGTGCCCAAGTATGGCCCAGATCCTTCAGTGCTATTGAGTGAAGGGCAAGGATGCCAAAGCCCCACAAGGAAAAAATAAGAAAGGAACCCAGGACATTGTAGAGGCTGTAATCGCTATCTTTCCTGATAACCTTCCATTTCCCTTCTCTTTCATCTCCTGCCCTCTACCCACTCTCTCCTTTTTTTTTTTCGTATAGCATATTGTACTGAAACAGATGCAATAAGGAGAAGACTGGAGAACTGCACTGGAAGAAGGGTCTTTGTGTCCTATACATCTTAAACAAATTACCTTTTTTAAAAAATATATATATATTTTTTATTGATTTTTTACAGAGAGGAAGGGAGAGGGATAGAGAGTTAGAAACATCGATGAGAGAGAAACATCAATCAGTTGCCTCCTGCACACCCCCTACTGGAGATGTGCCCTCAACCAAGGTACATGCCCTTGACCGGAATTGAACCTGGGACCCTTCAGTCCACAGGCCGACACTCTATCCACTGAACCAAATCGGTTAGGGCAAAATTACCTTTTAGATAGACTTCAATCAATACGTAATGTACCTCTTGGTTGCCCTTTGGCAGCATGACTATAAAATCTCCCAGGCAATGGCCAGCCCCACTCATCTTCATCCTCCTTCAAGCTACTTCCGAGTCACAAAGGCCCAGATGACTAACAGTACACAAATGCCCACCATTATTCCACCCATATCTACATCAAGGCAACCCCATCCCTCCTCTGGAACCAATCCTCTTGGACAGGTGCATTATGAGTTGGAGAGCAGCTGAAGGATGTTGCTAAGCGATGGCCTCACCTTGAGGTCCCTGTGGACGATGCCCATTCTATGGAGATAGTAGACAGCATCCAAGACCTGGCGGATCAGAGTGCTAGCATCTTTCTCTGTGTAAAATCCCTTCTCCACTATTCGATCAAACAACTCTCCACCGGACACACTGTTAAAAAAAAAAAAAGGAACAAATGAGAAGTTTGAGAGGAGCTGTTGAATTATTCAGGGACAACCATGAGTAAAGGCTTTAAATATGGTAAAAGACCCAAATTTTATTTCATAAATGAATCCATTTTCAGAGTTAGAGATTTTTTCCCCTCTATTCCCCAGTAGCTCTACTAAGGAAGTGTTTCTATGTTATGGTGGTACAAATGTCCAGAGTGAAATAAAGGAAATAAAAATAAGCCAGGACCCACAGACTTAGCCAGGCTTGGCAGGTCTCTCCTGGCCTCTGCCTCCTTGCTGCTGTGACAATGTAAAGTCAGGATAACCTTCAGAAACGTCAGCATCATCAGATACAGGGAGATGATGCTGGCAAAGATGTCTCCCTCACACAGACAGTATCCTTAAAGGACCCCGGTGGGGGGTGCTGTGGGCAAAGCATGGAGCAGCCAGCAGATGTCTGGGCTTTTGACTGAGTTATGCTCCTAATATGCTGAGTGTGTGAGCATTCCTTGAGTCTTTAAACCTCAGTTTTTTTATCTGTAAAATGAGGGTGTTAATCTAGTCAACTATTTCCAACAGAGGTTAGGGGGATGTTCTCGGAGGCTGGTATCAGAGCCTGAAAGCCACATGTGATTTACAAAGAAAGGGGGGAGAAAATTATACTCTATTACATTGCTTTGCTTTGTTCCCCACCACACCGCCTTTGGTGATAATATTTTATGTTAATTTGCTTTGAATTTCAGATTGCATTAAATATATTTTTCATATTATTAAAGATCTGGGGGAGTGGGTAGGGGCTGGGAGAATGGGGGTAAAGAGGGGTAAACAGGAGACATCTCTAATACTGTCAACAATAAAAACTATCCACTAAAAAAAGAGGGGCCTAGACAAAGAAAGAGCTTTTTGAAAAAAGTCAAAAAGCCTGGTGAACAACTTCCATAGACCCTTTCATTTTGATATTTGATGCTACTGTGAGTTTAACAAAATAACAGAACTATACAATTCTGAATAGAAATATACAATTCTGAATAGAAATAACTCAACTAACACCTTAACCTTCCAGGTCTTAGAATATATACTTCACTAAGAAAACAGTACTTCTTTCAAATAATTAAGCCATCTTAGAAATTAGCTTCAAGAGATATATTAACACTATTTTTTTTCTATAAAAAAGAAACAAATTTTCCAAATTCAAAATGAAAAAGATTTATTTGAAATATTAAGGGCATAAATATTAAGTTTCATAAATAACTTCTACAGCTTCAACAGAGTTAAGGCATGCTCTGGCCACACCACACACACATTCACAAACACTCAAGGCTATGATTCATTTCCTGCAAGTCATGGCAATTAATGTGCAATAAACCACAGATACCTAAACACAATTGCAGTTGTAAAGGCCTATGTGTTATCTAGGGTCATTCCAAGAGATGTTGTACTTGGATAATGTCTTGTTTCCAAAGCAAACTACGCAATCTACATAAGAAAGGGAAGATGCTCAGGAGAAATAAAAAGCAATCGAAAGAGTGAAAAGAAATTGAAACAACTGGGGAGAAACTACATTTTGGTGATTATATTGTTTAAACAATCCCTCCTTAGGTAAACCAAAATCCCAAAATGTCCCCTCCTGGCAACTGACACCGCGTTCTCACCAGTCTTCTTTTTTTTCTAGAACCTTCTTCCAATAAGTTTCAATGTCTGAAACTCTGCAGAGCTTGAGGATGTAAGGCAGGAGATGTACTGCTGCCAGGGGCAGGGTGAGTGGGTACATTCACTTGACTTAATCACTTATTTGACTATTCATTCAACATTCTATGCCAGCTGCTGTGCATGGTTGGTGCCAATCAAGGCAGCATTAGCTATGAAGGAGGAAAGTCTGTTTTGACTGTGCCCCTCCTCATTCTCTAACATCAGCCCACCCTCCAATAATGGCATGGCGTACGAGTGTTCCAGTGCTTTCTTACCACTCGTATGCCTGCTACTCACTCCTCTGCTCTGAAAGCTGCTGGAGGACCTCAGGGAAGATTGTTCACCCTTTCCTCATCCCACCCCACCTTAGTCCTACATGGCCCACACTGCCAGGACATCTCCTTCCCTCAAAACTGATCTTTCCTGCTTCCCATTCTCTCAAAGTTCCCTTTTCTGCTATGTAATCTATAAGGTGTTAATATATTCTATTGAATAATAATATTTACACACTGCAATAGGGTAGCAATACAGTAAGAACTGGAGCTTCAGAGTTGAAATGTAAGATACTGCTGTAGTATGTATTGTCACAGAGTCCCAATTCTCTGCACATTTGCCATTTCTCTTATTCAATTTCAAATTGCACCAGATCTTTATTTTTCTGAACATTGCTCAGAAAAAAACTGGTTTCCTTAGAAACCAAGGCACTGGGGAAATGTTTAAAAACTTGCCAATAAAAAATGTAACGAGTACTAATAAAAATACCTTAAATTTGCAAATCACTTTATGCTTTTCAAAATCTCCTTAAGCATTCATTGCAAAGGCCTGAATGTTTATCTCCCCCCCACCCCAAATTCATGTGTTAAAGCCCTAACTCCTAAAATGATGGTATTTGGAGGTGGGGGCCTTTGGGGGTGATTAGATTTAAGTCATGAGGATGGGGCTCCCATGATGGGATTAGTGACCTTATAAAAAGAGGGAGAGAAACCAGTGCGCACGCGCTCACTCTCTCTCTCTCCCTCCCTCCTATGTGAGGACACAGTGAGAAGGCAGTTGCTTGCAAGCCAGGGAGAGAGCCTTTAACAGGAACCAAATTGGCCAGCACCTCAATTTTGGACTCCAGACTCCAGAACTGTGAGAAGTACATTTCCATTGTTTAAGGCACCCAGCCTCTGGTATTTTGTTAAGGCAGCCTAAGCTAACTAGACAACCACTCATTTTCAAAACCGCTTGTGAACAACCAGAATCCCAGAATCACTAATGAGGAAATAAGTTTGGACTTGTGAGGGACATGTCTAATTTCTAGGCCTAGAGATCATGGTTGGTTGGCTGCTGATCTGAAAGACAGGTTACTCTCTAATCCTTCTATGGCAAGCTTCTTGTGTGCATGGAATCCTCAATTTAAAAAAATGCAAAGCATTAGAATATATATAGATTAAGGGAGAAGGCAAAGACATGATTCAAAAATTCTCTACTCTTCTCAATTCAAACTTTGACATTGATTTAGAACAACCTGCCTTTGCAAACCATTTTGTTCTTTTCATGCACTTGAACTTCCCCATCTAATTTCGATAGGTATCATCTTCTTACTTTAAAAGTTACTGGCAATTTGAACTTAAAATGTTTTATGTCTTATAACAATATTCTACACACATTCACTATAAGATAGTCCTTGTGCCAATAATGAAACTGGGGTCCAAAATCTATTTCTCTAGAAATTAGATATAATAAAATGAAATGAGGGCTAAAGGAAACCAGCATATGTCACCCCAAAACATGCCTCTTTGACATAAAAATTATTCTAAGCTAAAGACAATTAAGAAGCAGAGAAAGCTTCTTAAAGGCAATAAATAAATTCCCTTTGTATTGGAGACAGACTTTTACCAGCCCAGAGATAAAACCAGAAGAACTGGCAAACAAACCTTATTATCTCATCATTATCTTCCTAGTTACTTCTTCAGTTACTACCCCTGCTCCAAATCCCTTTGTCTTCTCAATTCTTCACAAATGTATTATCTGTCTATAAGGTATAAAGCTTCCTGCTCTAGTCACTTCTTCAGGTCTTCATTCTCTTGTGAAGGCTCCCAAGTACATGTAAAAACTCAATACAGTGTGTATACTTTTCTCCTGTTAATAAGTCTTTGTCAGCTTAATATTCAGACCCCACCAAGGACCCTAAACGGGTTGAGTAAAATGTTTTGCTCCCCTATAGGGCCAAAGAGTACAGCACTCTACTGTTAATTTCAGACGGAACAGTCTGAGAATTATTAGCAGTGATGCTGGGATAATAAAAAAGCAGTGTTACAGCAAACATGCCTTTAAATTCACAAAGGCTCACATAACCAGGCAGCAAAAGAATAATAGAACCGGGTGACACGAATACAAGAGCAATGTGGTCTTAATGTGCCCCAGAGCTAGGCTGGTTATAAATGTGTGTTTGCTAAGAACCATCTCCCCTATTTACATTTATTTAGTCCTAAGGGGAAGGTACTCTTGAAATATGCAGGTTGTGATTAAGAGAGGTTACAAGCAAAGCATTTTCCAATGTGAAACCTCAAGGCCCAGATGACAGATACGTACCTTTTTTCACCCAGCCTATAGAGAGAAATAATCTATCTTCTCAGTCTTTCCCTCAATCAAGTCCCAACTTGGCAGCCCTGGGATCTCCCTCCTCCCATGCCTGTCTCCCAGGCCCTTACCCTTAATCCTCACTACTTCATTTGGCTTTGGCATCCATACACTCTGCTCCTGGGGGGACTCCCCCTCCACTCTGGGAAAATTAAAGCTTTATTTCATGGAACCTCTGCCTTCAATATTTTTCCCCTTCAATAAATCCTACTTCAATAATAAAAATATCTTTATTCTTAGAATTCAGTTTCACAATATCTTCCAGGCCTCAATCTGTTCAGAAATTTCCAAAACACAAACACATGCCTCTTCTTTTAATAGACCAGATCAATTTAATCCCTTGTGTTCCAGTATGCTTTGATTCTGGCTGTTTTGTCTTCTCAATATCTGGGGTGTTAGGGGCTGAATTGCATTCTCCCCCCAATTTCATATGTTGAAATTATAACATATTTGGAGATAGAGCCTTTAAGAGGTAATTAAGGTTAAATAAGGTCATATGGCTCCAATATGAGTAGTGTCTTTATGAGAGAGACACCAGGGATGCACGCACACAGAGGAAAGACCATGTGAAGACAGCGAGAAGGCAGCCAGCCATCTACAAGCCAAGGAGAGGGGCCTGAGGAGAAACCAAACCTGCTGAAACCTTGATCTTGGATTTCCAGCTGCCATAAAGGTGAGAAAATAAAT